ATTTTTACAACTGACTTGACACGAATACTCCACACAAAACTATGAGCACTTTTAGTGTTGAAGACGAGCATGGTGGCCAAGAATAGGCAAATACACAAAAGTACTAAGGAAATATTGAGGAGTGAATTTTGGTCAAAGAATTAAACAGGCCAGGAGAAGTTTATATTTGACAGATAGCTTTATCACTCTACGTCCTTTATGCCAAGAATTGGCTCATTTGGGCTTTCTAGATGGACAAAATATAAACTTGAATTAAACCATGTAATTCGAGTAGCCGTAAACAAACACGTTTTCGGGGAAACTAAATTCACCTACCTTCGTGTCACCTCGACGTGCTCACAGAAAAACTCAGCAGGACGAAACAAAACTTGGCAGAACGGAAGACAAGGAATTAAGCTACCTTTGGAAACAATTGCTTTTTATTCAGATTCATTTGTGGCACGGAAAATAAGCGCTGAACAAAAAGTGGCTGAGAACTGGGCCCAGCCAAGAACTGGGCCCCACACTGTATTTCATTTCGTTTTAATTAACTAGCAAGTTGTTTCGCTTCCAGTTATTGAAGATCAAGTTCACACTTCACACCGCCCGAGTTCTTTACACAGCCTATTGTTTTATCACTTGAAAAAGGCTGGGAGAATTGTAAGCTTGGGTTTTATGCAGTATAAGCCGTTGAATTCTCCAAAACTGTCTGCACGCTATTTTCTATTTCATAAAATTTAAAATCACAAGTGTAAGCTTGAGGGAGTCAGTACAGTGTTTCTGGGTTCTTCCATACTTTAGAGATGTTAACTTAAATAAATTGAAAATTTATCGAGGAGATTGTCAATCATACCCTCTGGATGAACATGTTAGAAACACAAAAAATTATGGTAAAATGGCGAAATGGCATTAGAGGTTATGGTGACCCTGGGGAACCCCTGGGCATTTGCACAATGACGTTTACAAATCCCCTTACCCACACGCAAGATTTTTTTAGCAAAAAGCTACGAATGTCCCTCCCCTGGGGCTAAAGAAGTTTGCTCTGCCAAGTCAATTTCCCATAATTAATTTTCTATGTGCTATAATTATACTTATAAGAGTTAATAAAATGTAGGCAAAGAAAGCTGTTCCACTTGTTTCCTACACATGATGAGGTTCAGCTTACCTTAGCTTGTAAACCATTCAATGGGAAAAGATAGAATATTCCACCTGTTTCCTGGTGATGAAGAACAAGGATTCGTTGACTACAGTATGTTTTGAAATGTTTTATTTTAATTGGCAGAAATGTAATCAAAAACAAAGTAAAGTTTTGCAATAGTTTTAAATTGCAAGAAACTAAAGCAACAATGAAAAGACAATAATGAAATCTCTGTTTTCCTGCT